CAACCACCACCTTGGTACAGGCCCTCTGCAATCCAACCCTCACACTTCGAACAGAGTTTCCTGTTTCCCTAGGCTCAGACTGCTACTTTTTTATTTTCCACACTACAGCAAATCTTTTAAATATAAATCTGTTTTGTTCTCTGGATGTTTACAGTCTTTCTAAGGTCCTTTCAACTTGTAAAATTCCAGGTTCCTCACAGGACACGCAGGGCCTTTCACTAGCATCTTCCAGCCTCCAGAGAGCTTCTCTCACCCCATTTCTTAGTCCCAAACTGGCTTTCCTCAAAAGGTACTGCAGTTATTTTGGTATCTAAAGAGCAATTCATTTTAGCTTGGAGATTTTTACTCATTTTCAATGGGTAAAGAACTCTATTATTTTATTGTCATCTTTCACATACTATCCTTCTGCCTGAAAAAAAGCTTTCTCCCTTGCACTCTGCCTCTCAAATCAAAAGTTTTAAATCTTGATATGTATGCATATGTATTTCCATAAAATGCATGTTCCATAAACTTTACAACACAGAAAGTCCACTGTTGGATACATAACAAACAGAAATGCATGTCCATATGCAACTCAAGGCACAAATAAGAATTGGAATCATAGTCAAAAATTTGAAATTCAAATTTCCATCAAGACATATAAATGGCTAGCCATCCATACAATGGAAAATTATACAGCAGTGAAAATGTAAGCAATTGTAAGCAATGCAAGGACAAAATTTTGTATGTTAAGCAAAAGAAAACACAGTGCATGATCCCATCTCTACAAAGTTCAAAACCATGCAAAAACTAATCTATACTGATAACAGACAAAAGAGCTGTTGGACCTTTGGGACAGGAGGAGGGCTAACCATGCAAAGATGGACCGGCATGTTCTTTCTTGATTCTGCATGAGAGTTATATGTTGTGTATTCATTTTCTGGTAATTATTAAGTTATACTTCATGATTTGTGCATATGATGTATATTACACTTACAAAATGTTTTTTAGAGTTTTCTTTATTTGCAGTTCAGAGCTACAGAGAGGGAGAGACAGAAAGATCTTCTATCTGTTGGCTCACTCATCACCCATCCAAAATGTTCACAACAGCCAGAGCTGAGCCAGGAACTTCCTCCAGGTCTCCCATGTGGGTAGCAGGGGCCCAAGCACTTGGGCCATCTTCTGCTGCTTTCCCCAGGCCATTAACAGGGAGCTGGATCAGAAATGGAGCAACCAGGACAAGAACTGGAGCCCTTATGGGATGTCAGCACTGCAGGTGGTGGCTTTACCTGCTGTGCCACCGGTGGTCCCAAAAACTTTTTTTTCTATCATTATGGTAATTTTGATTTTTTTTTTCCTTACAAGTCATAGTCATCGTAGGCATAACTGGACACTCAGTAATTAGGAGTCTGAATGTCCCCACAGGCCCATGTGTTAAAGGCTTGATCCGCAGCCTGGCACTACTGGGAGGAGATGAAACTTTTAGGAGGTGGGGCCTACCGGGAGGTGTTGGATCACTATGGGCATGCCCTCAGAAGGGAGTTTTCAAAAAGAAAAAAAAAATTCTTATACAAGCTTAGGTTGAGTCAACCTCTCAGCTCCTGGCTGGCTGTGTGATCCTTCCTCTGCAAATCCTCTGCCACTGCCATCCACTGCCCTCATGTGGGACAAACCAGTGGAGCTGCCTGATTTTGGACCTGAACCTCCAAAACTGTGAGCTAAATAAACCTTTTCTCTTCGTACAGTTGGCTACCTCTAGTAAAAGCTGACTTTTAAAAAAAAGTCTTTCCAAAATACTCATGGATTTTAAATATTTTTTGGGGCCGGCACTGTGCCGTAGCATGTAAAGCAGCCGCCTGCAGTGCCAGCATCCCATGAGTGCCGGATCAAGTCCTGGCTGCTCCATTTCCGATCCAGCTCTCTGCTATGGCCTGGGAAAGCAGTAGAAGATGGCCCAAGTCATTGGGCTCCTGCACCCACATGGGAGACCCAAAAGAAGCTCCTGGCTTCAGATCATCACGGCTCCAGCCACTGCGGCCATTTGGGGAGTGAACCAGTCAGTGGATGGAAAACCGACCTCTCTCTCTCTCTCTGTAACTCTGACTTTAAAATAATCTTTTTTAAAAAATACTTTCATATGAAAATAAGCTTATGTTTTAAATTTTCTATTAACTTTTCAAAGTACCCTCATATTTATAGCAATGTGGCCTATTCTTCATGTTAACAATTTATTTCAGAATATTTTAAACTGATTAAAAAATAAAAAGCTGTGTAGTAATACAAAGAATTCCCATATATCCCATACCTTGCTTCCCTATTAATTTCTCATATTAATGTTTGTGAAAATTTTAAAACAGCACCCAGCTTCCCCTATTTTCTTAATGCAAACTCCTCCTATTCCTCCCACTCTTCAACCTCTAGTAATGAACATTCTGTGTTCAGATTGAGTTTTGCTCAGAATTTTTTTCTTTTGTTTTTGTTTTCAGGTCCTACATATGAAGGACTGTCGCTCCCCCTCTTCGTGGAGGAACGACACAGGACCCTGCGCTGTTCTTTCTGTCTGCTCGGCCCTTCCCGGGTTTGCTGCTGGTTCTTCCCGGGTTGGCTACCGACCCTTCCACCTCCGTGGAAGGGCGGTTCCCCCTGCCACATTCCCCACTTCCGCGGGGGAGCGGCACACTGCCGGCCGGCTCTCTCGGGGGCTGCACAAGTGTTCCTTCAGATAGATGTTCCCCTTAGATGTTCCTGGTGCATGTTGTCTCTCTCCTCCTTTATAGTCCTTCCACCAATCCCAACTCTGCTACCCACACGCCGAGTACGCTGCTCTGCTCCAATCAGGAGCAGGTCCTACAGTTTATTGGTTGAACTGGAGGCAGCTGCGTAGAAGCTGTTTCTCCCTTCTCAGCGCCATATTGTGGGAGAGCAGATGCACAGAATAAGTCTTAATTCCAGTAACTTAGTCTAGTCCGAGTTGCTCCCCACAAAGGACAACACACATAATGTTTTTGCTTTATTTCACTCGACATGATATCACCCACTGCCATCAATTTCCATCTAGTTCCATGCTGCAAATGACAGGAATGCATTCCTTTTTATGGCTGACTAGTATTTCATTGTGTATAGATACCGAGTTTTATCTATTCATCTAATGATGAACACTCTGGTTGATTCCATATTTTGGATATTTCAAACAGTGCTGCAATAAACATGGTAGAGCTGGTAACTCTCTGATACAGTGAGTTTGTGTCTTTTGGATACATACCCAGAAGTGGGACTGCTGTATCATATGGCGTTCCTATTTCTAGTTTTTTAAGGAATCTCCATTGCCTTTTCCTCAATGGTTGCACTAATTTACATTCCCACCAACAGTGTGTAAGGCCTCTTTTCTCCACATCTTCCCATTTGTTACTGTCTTTCTGAAAACAGCCATCCCGACAGGGGTGAGGAGGTATCTCACAGTGGTTTTGATTGCATTTCCCCGTGGCTGGCAATGTTGAGCGTGTTTTTCATAATCTGTTGTCCATTTGTATTTCTTCTTTTGAAAACTTTCTATTCAGGTCCTTCTGCCCACTTCTTAACTGGATTGGCTGTTTGTTGTTGAAGCTTTTTTAGTTGCTGACGTATTCTGGATACTAATTTTGTGTCAGATAAATAGCTTGCAATTATTCTTCCCATTCTGTCCGATGTCTTTTCACTCCACTGATTCTTTCCTTTGCTGTACAGAAACTTCTGAGTTTGATATAATTCTATTTGTATATTTTTGCTTTTGTTTCCTGTGCTTTTGGGGTCTTATCCCAAGAAATTTCTTACCCAAAACATCACTACCTTTTCCAATGATTTGAAGAGTTTCCCCTATGTTTTCTCCTAGCAATTTCTTTCTTTAAGACTTATTTATTGAAAGGCAGAGTTACATGGGGGGGGGGGGGGGGGGGACAGAAAGAGCACTCTTCTACCTGCTGGTACAATGACCATGGCTGGCCCAGGATGAAGCTAGGAACCTGGAACTTTTTCCAGGTCACTCATGTAGGTTGCAGGGACCCAAGGACTTGGGCTATTGCCTACTACCTTCTAGGGAACATTATCAGGGAGCTGGTCTGGAAACAGAACAGATTGGACTTGAAATGGCGCACATATGGGATGGCACCGTCACAAGCGGTGACTTAACTCATTGTACAACAACACCAGCACCTCCTGTAACCATTTCATGGTTTCAGGTTTTACATTTAGGTCTTTAGTTCACTTGGGATTAATTTTTTATATGCTAAGGAGGGATTTAATTTCCTTCTTCTACATATGTAAGTCCAGTTTTGCAAGGGCTATGTATGTTCTTAGCAACTTTGTCAAAAATCAGCTGTCTTGGGGCCGGCACTGAGGCAAAGCAGGGAAAGGCGCCTGCATCCCAAATGGGCGCCAGTTCATAACCAGCTGCCCCCTTTCTGATCCAGCTCTCTGCTATCGTCTGGGAAAGCAGTAGAAGATGGCCCAAGTGCTTGGACCCCTGCACCGTGTGGGAGATCTGGAAAAATCTCCTGGCTGCTGGCTTCGGATCATCACAGCTCTGGCCATTGCAGTCATTTGGGGAGTGAACCAATGGATAGAAGATCTTTCTGTCTCTGTCTGTCTAACTCTACCTCTCAAATAAAACTAATTAAATCTTTTTTTTTAAAAATCAGTTGGCTCACTCTTTCTTGTGCTGTTTCAGAGCTGACAGAGTACTTCAAGAGACCAACACAGGGGCCGGCACTGTGGCGCATGGGTTAAGTCTATGCCTGCGGTGCCAGCATCCCATATGGGTGCTGGGTTCTAGTCCTAGCTACTCCTCTTCCTATCCAGCTCTCTGCTATGGCCTGGGAAAACAGCAGAGGATGGCCCAAGTGCTTGGAACCCTGCACCAACGTGGGAGTCCCCAAAAAAGTTCCTGGCTCCTGATCGGGTTAGCGCTGGCCGTTGCAACCATTTGAGGAATGAACCAACAGATGGAAGACCTTCATCTCTGTCTCTCCTTCTCTCTGTCTATAACTCTCTCTCTCTCAAATAAATCTTAAAAAAAAAAAGAAAAAAGAGGCTACCACAGAAGGGAAAAGTAAGTCTCCATAAAACCCAGAGACTGTCATCTCTTCTTTGGATCCTATCTGGTGTCACAGCTGGGGAAAAAAAATCAGTTGGCTGTGTGTATCTGGATTAATTTCTGATCTGTCTATTCTGTTCCATTAATCTGTGTGTCAGTTTTTATGCCAGTATCATTATGATTTAATTACTACAGCTTTGTAATATGCTTTGAAATCAGATATGGTGATGCTACCAACTTTTTTTTTTCTTTTTTTTTTTGCTCACGATATCTTTGGTCATATTGGGACTTTTGTGGTTCCATAAGAATTTTAGGAGTGTTTCTTCTATTTCTGTAAACAATGTCATTGATATTTTGATACAGATTGCACTGATTCTGTGGTTTGCTTTAGGTAGTATAGACATTTTAACAATATTAATTCTTCCAACCCATGAATGGGGACCATCTTTCTATATTTTTGTGTTCTTGATAATTTCATTCATCAATGAATGTGTCATAATTTTCATTACAGAAATCTTTTACTTCTTGGTTAAAATTTATTCCAAGTATTGAAAAATTTTGTAGCTATTATGAGTGAGACGTCTTGATTTCTCTTTCAGTAAGATCATTATTTGTGTGTTAAAATGCTGTTTTTGTAGGTTGATTTTATATCCTGTGACTTTATTGAATTGGCTTAATAGTTGTAACAGTTTTTTGGTGAGGCATTTAGGATTTTCCACACACAGAAGATAGTTTTCAGGCTAACTGGGCGTGAGCTGCAGCTCGCCCAGTCCAGGCAGGACATCCTGCCAATGGTGACGACAAAGAGAAACGGAGCTGACAGTCTCAGCAAGAGACGGATAGGTGATGGCTTCTGTCGGTGTCTGAGGCAAAACTGTGTCCTGCAGAGACAGGAAAGCCTGCAGGACGTGCCCACCTCCACCAAGTGGGCCCACGTGCACGGTGGGAAGCGTGCTCCTCCCAGGAGTCCAGTCGCATCAGGCCACCTCAGCCAGGCCTCGCTGTGGTAGATACGCAAGTCAGGGAGCAAGCGAGCTGACCTCAACGAAGCTTCTTTAAGGTACTTGCTTATTTGAAAGGGAGAATTTCAGAGGATCTTCCATCCCCTGGTTCACTCCCCAAGTGGTCGCAAGGGCCAGAGGCTGGGCGGATCCAAGGCTGGCAGCTTAATCCAGGTCTCCCACAAGGGTGCAGGTGCCATCGGAACATGCAGCCTAACTGCATTTGTCAACAAAGAACTGAATTGTCTCTGCCTCGAGCCAAGTGCAGTTTCACTGCCATGAAACGTGGAGGAAGGCTAAGGCCGAGGGTTCAGCAGCCACCAACTGAAGGGGTTGGTGAGTGATCCTGACTGCAAGTGTGGTGATGTTTATCGCTGTGACAGGCGGGGGCTGAGCCGCAAACCGTGCTCCTGCCTTTTTACAGCCTGTGGTATGAAGCAGTTCACGTAAGAGGAAGGGAAGCCTGTCAGGGAAGCTTCCGTGTGATCTCCCAGTCGTGGTGGACACTACCAAGTATCAATACCAGCAGCTAACCAAGCACTGCTCACCAAATGGCAGTTTCTACAAGTTGGGAATTTCGTATGGTCTTCAGATGATGTTACAAATACACAAATGGGCCTTGGCAGAAAAAATTCCCTCCACAATGTTTGAAATAAAGCTGTTCAACTTCAAAATAAAGACATGTACAAACATGGGTATTTTTATTTTCACCTCTCCAATTCTGATGCCCTTTTATGTCTTTTTCTTCCCCAACTGTTCTTGCTATTTCCAATACTACATTGAGTAAGAGTGGTGAAAGTGGACATCTTTACCTTGTTCCAGATCTGAAAGGAAGTGCTTTCAGCTAATTTGTTGAGGGTTTGTATCACTAAGAGAAACTGAATTTGATCAAATGCTTTCTCTACATCTATTGAGATGATCGTATGATTTTGTTCTTCACTCTGCTGATGCGATTTACGATGTCTATTGACTTGGCAATGCTGAACCACCCTTACCCCTCTGGGCTAAATCCCACTTGATCAAGATGTATGATCTTTCTAATGTAGTGTTGGATTCGGTTTGCTAACATTTTGTTCAGTCAGCCTATTCTTAAAATGCTTATTATGTGCAATTTCCTACTCTGTACAAGACTAAAAATCTGGCTCACTAATACAGTAAGAAACAACCCAGAGAACTGGGAGAAAATCTGCAAACTATACATTTGATAAAAGACTTGTATCTAGAAAATATATAGCATTCTCACAACTCAAACTAAAAAGACAAACTAATTTTTAAATGAGCAAAGGATCTGAATAGATATTTCTCCGAAGAAGATAACACAAACAGGCACCAGACACATGAAAAGATTCTCATCATTAGTCATTAAAGAAATGCAAATCATTCACTCCTGTAGGATAGCTAAAGATACAGAGAAACTGGTACCCTCATGCACTGCCATAAGGAGGAAAAAATGGTAGTCACTTTGGAAGACAGTCTGGCAAGTTCTCAAAAGGCTGGACACAAAGTTACCATATACAATCAACAACCCACTCTTAAGTATATACCCAAAAGAAATGAAAACAAGGGTATACAAAACTTATAAATGAGTAGCAGCATTATTCTTAACAGCCAGAAAGCTGCAACAACCCAAATGTACATCAAGTGATGAGTGAATAAACAAGATGTTACACCCACATAACTGAATGTCATTTGACAATAAAAAGAATTACAAGGGGGCTGGTGCTGGGGTGCAGCAGGTTAAAGCCCTAGTCTGCAGTGCCAGCATCCCATATGGGCACTGGTTCGAGTCCCTGCTGCTCCACTTCCTATCCAGTTCTCTGCTATGGTCTGGGAAAGCAGTAGAAGATGACACAAGTGCTTGGGTCCCTGCATCCACACGAGAGACCCAGAAGAAGCTCTAGGCTCCTGGCTTCGGATTGGCCCAGCTCCAGCCATTGCAGTCTCTCTCCTTTCCTCTCCCTCTCTGCCTCTCCATAACTCTACCTTTCAAATAAATAAATAAATCTTTAAAAAAATTAAAAGTACTTATACATGCTGTAATCCGTATGAATCTTGACAACATCATGCTAAGTAAAAGAAGCCAGTCACAAAAGGCCACATAGTAAGTAACTCCATTTTATGGAAAAAAACAAAAATACACAAATCTAAAGAGGCGGAAAATGGTGGCTTAGGGCTGCAGGAATGGAGAGTCAGGGCAGAGAGGTGAAAACTAAGGGGCATGGGATTTATTTTTGAAGTAATTTGTGCTAAAACTGATTGTGGAGATAGTTCCATGTAGGTCTGAATATACTCAAAGCCACTGAATTGTATACTTTAAATGGGCTAACTCTATGGTATGTGAATTATATAACAAGGTTTTTTTTTTTTTTTTTTTTATCTGCTTTCTTTCTCAAGGGCTCTAAACAGTCATGCTGATTTATTTAGAAGGCAGCTCTATTTTTGCTTCTCAGTGTCACTTCCAGTCATACAAATCACATAAATGTCTTGGAGTCCCCCTACCTGGATGAAACCACCCCCTTGCTATGGCTCCGCAGCCTTGCAAGTACACCAGCCCGCTCTGAGCTTCGTGAGACCCCATTCTAAACTGCCACAGAATCAAGTCTCTCCACACGCTCCCCGTCATGACAAAATGCCAAAACAAAATAGTCACTTTCACCCCATATTCTCACTAGGAGACAGTCAAATTTTGATCTATCTTCAGAAACAGAATTACCAGGAAGTCAAGGACTTATCAGATGTTTCCATTTATAGAGCTGAGACTTCCATAGATTTATAGATAGTTTAAATACACCGTTTATAAACTATCTAGATGTCATTGTGCCACGTTTGAATTTATAAATATTTACTCAGGGATGCACTGAAGATTAGGTTCCGGGATCGTAAAGCTGAAGACACAGCCCTAGCCTTCAAGGTCTATAGGGAAAAGCAAACACAAAAACAATTTTAATCGGTTTTAGCAAAGCCTCCCCGCCCCTTCCCTCTATCCTGGCACTTGAAGCAAGCTGCAGAGGTGGGCCTACATCCCACACCGGAGTGCCTACGTCCGAGTCCCAGCTCCACTTCTGATTCCACCTTCCTGTTAATGTACACCATGGGAGCAACAGTTATGGTTCAAGTACTTGGGTTCCTGCCACCCACATGGGAGACTTGGACTGAGTTCCATGCTCCTGGCTCCTGGCTCTGACCTGGCCCAGCCCTGGCTGTTGGGGGCATCTGGGAGGAATAAATCTGCAATGGGTGACCTCTTTTTCTGTCTGCCTTTCAAATAAATAAAAACTAAATGATCTTTTTAAAATAGTAATAAGAGAAAAAAACTTAGCTGTAATTTTCTGTCACTTATCTATCAATTTGGCTTAATCTCATGGGATGGACAATTCCTTTCAATCCCAATTCCTTCAATCCACAGCGCCTTGCACACAGGAGAGCTTCAACAACTGTTGATTAAGTGAATGGAAGGCAAGAGCATGTCAGAAGAACCACTTACATCCCTCACAGTACCCATCCTGCCCTCTTAACCACTGCTCACAGTCACAAATCTCAGCCATGCTGGCCACAGTACAGTCCTTGCTAGGGCTGACAAAGAGCAAACGGAAGCAGGAAAATACCCACATTGACTGCTCCCTGTCACCTCCCCCCACCCACAACTGAGCCGTCAGCTTTCCTTCCCCTCCCCTTTCCCCATCTAACACCCGGGAAAAATAATGTTCAGAATGATTTCTCGGAAGAAAACCACTGATGAAATGGGATTTTCCTGTACAATGCAGAGCAAATGTATTTTACAAATCTGTTAGAGACCCTAACTATCAAAGGGAAAGAGACTGGGAAAACTGCAAGGCTGAGAGTGTAGAAGGATGGGACCTCTGCCCTATGTCAGGCACTGTGCCTGCTGCCTGCTAGATGACAGCACAGTAAGAGCACCCAATAATCCCTTCAAAAGAAATCTGAACTATGAGAAAGGTGTTACATACAGTGCCTCACTGAACCCTTACAATAACCTGTGAGTTACTATCATCTCCTGTAACTTCTTCCTATCTGCTTGTATTTCCCAAACTGTCCAGAGGCTTGTGTACTGGCTTC